ACATCAACAAAAATTATGTACCTGTTTAAGAAGGGAAAAAAATCGACACCCTTTTTGCAAAAGATAGTATCCTAGAAAGACACTTTAATGACTTAGGGTCTAGTTTAGAAATTTGTGAGTTTTAATTTCATTACAAAAGGATTGATAATATGGCTAACTCGCTACGAGATTTCTTAAAATAAAGTCATGTCTTACTAGAAAAATCATTCACAAAGATAACAAAATATCGAAATCCAATCGACAAAATAAGATGAGGTCCCCATACATCAAAATGAATCAACTCAAAACTATACTCTCTTTTATTAATTCTGAGAACAAAAGAAAAACGATTGTATTTAGCAAACTGAAATGACTCATAATCTAAAGATGATAATTGTTGAAACTATGGGTATAACCGCTTTAGCATTTGTAGTGATTGATGCCCTAATCGACAATGAATTAAAAGGGAGATAAGGTGTTTGCAAAGGCTATGGTTCGAGGTAGTTTGTTTACCAAAATATAGTCTCCCCAACTGTTGTCCTTTACCAATAATCATATTCGTCATAAGATCTTGAAGAAAATAATGATCAAGGAAGAATACAACAACAAAAAAAAAAACATTTAAGCACTTAGGTCTTTTTTTTTATCCTATTAAGTGAGGTCGGCTACATGAATCCTTTTTCTCCATTGCATCCTATTTAGTGTCATGTTTTCATTTAATTCTAATAAATTAAGATACTTTTTTATGCAATATGTCCAAGTCATTCTAGGTCTATCTCTGCATTTCTTAATAGAAGTCGATATTAAAACATCAATTCTTCTAATCGGATCATCAGTTGGTCGACGTTTAATGTGACCAAACCATCTAAAAGACGAATCACTTAAATTTTGTCCGTCACTGGAGCTAGACTAACCCTATCACGGATATATTCATTTCACATTTTGTTTCTAAGTGCAAAGCCACTCATCCGCCTAATCATTCTCATCTCGACAACACTTAGTTTTATGCTTCTCTTTTAAAGGCCAACATTCAACGCCATAGAGCATTGCAGGTCTCACCACTATCTTATATAATTTTCTTTTTTGTCCAAGCAATACTTATCTATGCCACAATAGGTTCGATGGATTCCTCCACTTCAACCAACCAAGTTGAGTTACTAATAACATCACCATCTATATCACTATCACTTTGAACAATAGATCCGAGATATCTAAAACGATCACACCTTTTAATGATTTTATCACCCACAGTTACAACTATATCACTAGATCTACTACTAATAAATTTACATTCCATTTATTCAGTTTTAGATCTACTCAAATGAAAGCCTTTAGACTCCAAGAAGGTAGACCTCCATAATTCAAACTTGCTAAGGTAACAGAAGAAAGATATTTATTAAAGGTGAAAAAGAGCTTTGGATTATCTATCATGTGATTTGTAGCACCAAAATCAATGATCCATTATGTGGGTGAGGAGAGATGACAATTATTTTTGTTATTTGACTCAATAGTGCAATAATAGAGTATAATTCTTGGACACATCCTAAAACTGGATGAATTTAGCATATTCATGTGCATAAATCAACATAGTATGACATTGGGAGACCTTAGTGATCATGTGAGCAGACTAATTTAGAGCCCTTCTAATTCTTAAGCAAATTCTGACACACCTTCATATGACTAGGTTCATGGCAGCAGTAAAAAACTACTTTAGTGCTTTGATTTCCAGAATTTGGTGTTCCACTATACTTACCCTAATTGAGGTTTACAGATGTCTGTATTTTTTTTAGCTGGAGAGCACTAGATTGCTCTACGGATGAAGCCCGAGAACTCAGAATAGTGTGCAATACTCTACTATAGGCTTTCCACGAAGTAGTAATTTCAGGATCAAATAGGACTTGTGATTTGACACCTTCATGTTGAGAGTTGAGGTCAGCTAGAAAACTTATAATTGTCATTTGTTCTATTTGAATATGCTGAATTTGGATACAGTATTGAAGGGAAATAGTACAGTCATATCTTCATAAATATGTTTAAAGTGCACGTGATACATGAAATATTTTCTTTTCCATAAAATACAAATGTTAATTCCTCCATGACATCTTTAGCTGTCACAATTAGGGATATGACTAGATTGATAAAGTTCGATAAAATTTCATATTTGTATCAAGAGTTGGGCATCAACTCTCATCCACTTAGAATAATTATGGTTAGTCTTAACTAGGGAATTATTAATGATGCGACTCCTAAGAAGCACTACCCATGTAGAGCCTCATTATTTTATTCCTATAAAAGTAATTGATGTCGTTTAGCTTCTCATCAGTAATTTAGTCACGATTAGTCACGGATGAAACCAAAGTTGTCACAAGTTGTTTTTATTCAACAACCATAATTATTACCCAATATTCAATGAAACTGAATGAATGAATCTCAATGATGATGTGATCCTGTTGTCTGGTATGGGTAATCAAATAAGCCAGATTGTTTCCGAATGGCATGGAGGAGACACTATCAAAGTAATTGTAGGAAACAATTAGAGGAACTCAAACTTTCTCTGGAAATCGAATAGTTCACCAATTCATTTGAGGATTAAAGAGACAACGAGCCAAGATCAACAATCATTAAACCAAACAATTTAGTTCAGCTTCATTTCCAAATAGCGAGTCAACTCAATCTCCAACTCTCTGTAAATCCTACTTCTGCACCAAGTCGGTCAGTTTGAAGCATTGTTTAATAACATTTTTGAAGTTTATGCCTTGAGGCACGCCTCGAATTGAGGTACATAAAAAAAGCCTCGAGGCTTAAGTCTCAATGTTATCATTGAGGCTTACACTTTTTTTGTTGAGGCGTATGCCTCGAGGCGTTACATTTTTTTGTTGAGGCGTATGCCTCGAGGCATAACGCCTCAAGACATTTGAGGCAGCATCTTGATTAAGTTATGTAAAAATATATTTAATTAAGTGCTTCAGAAAGGTCAAAATTTTATTTAAGTATGATTGTTTGATTATAATATAACCTTATTTCCTTTATTTTAAATTATTTTAGAATTCAGATTAATTGATAGTAAGATGAAATTATAATGAATGAAGAAATTTTAAACTTATAAATTAGATAGAATTAGATGATAGTAAACATGATGAAAGCATGGATGAGAACACTATTGATCTTGAATCTCATAGAACATTTAAATTTTAAGTGAATGTTTGCCGAGAATCTAGTTCGAATTTCTATTTTATATTAATATTTAAGATAAAGATATATGATTTTTGTTTTTATGATAATAAACTAAATGAATATATCAATGATTTATATCATATTTATGCATTATTTTTAATTTTATGACCTTTTTTCCTTTTCATGAGGCTTACGCTTTAATTCACTTCAAAACTTACGCCTTGCGTCGCTAAGGCAAAATACCACAGTTCTGGATTTCACTTTTTTAACATTTGGTATGAAGAAAAGATAACAATGAGGGTTCACTTGAGCAAGGGCTACTGTTCGAAATTGCGACACCTTTCAAGTCGATTCATCGACCTTCGTGAGCTAACTAGGGCTACGAGCACACAAAACTGCTCGAAACAACGAAGAAGGGGATCTTCACAGACAATTCTATGAACTACGACTCAAAATCGTGACTCCTCTTATTCGTCTCTTCCAAATGAACTGAGCATTCCTTTGCATGTATACGAAACTGAGGCCGACAGATTCAGAGGAATTGGAGCGGTTAAGGCAGATCAAAGGAACATATTGTGCAAATCGACGAAGTAGAAAATGTCAAACGATGAAGTAGATGATGCCGATCAACAAAGCAGTTGCCATCGACGAAAACTACCTATGCAGATGAAGCCAACGAAGACAAGCTATGCACCTCATCGCGGGATGAAGGGGAAGCAAGCAAAGGCTCTGATACCATGTAAAGGGAAGCAAATCTTTTTCTACATAATTGAGCACATATGTTACATATTTGTACACACATTTTTTCTGGATTAGGAATATTATGTCTCCTGTAATTAGATAATTGATATTAATCTTCCTAATATATAAGCTTTTTAAATTGTTACTTTCATAACAACATCTTTAGATAGTAGATAAAATTAGTGTAAGAGCAATAGATTGCAGAGAGGGTTAAGTTAACGTAACATGAATAGAAGTTCAAAATGAATTGCTAAGAATTTGGTTAATACATCAGATAACGCATACGCATTGTATGGATGAATGAAAAATGAGAATTTGTAAATTCAAGCTTAAATTGTAGATGACATTGAAAATAAGACATTTAAAATAGACTTAGGCATATGGACATGTACAACAAAGAATAGAAAACATTTCCTTTAGATAGGTTCAGAAAATTAGTGTTGTAGAATTTAAAATTAATGAGGTAAACCTAAGGTAACATGGAGAGGGTTTGGTCAAAATGATTTGTGAAGAAAATTTTGCTATTTTAGGCTACACGTAGCATGAAGAATGAAAAATAATGATTCATGAGCAAATAGTTGGTATAAGGAAATGATGAAGTTGATGATGGGTAATGATTTTTGTTGTTGAAATTGCACAATGGGCTGTCGTTTTTTACTTCCATTTTTGTTGTGAGTTATGATAATTTTCTCCAGCATGATTTTTTTTAAGAGCTTATTTTGTTATTAATTTCTCCTCTACAATTTTTCTTGTAAGCTAATTTTTAACTGCTATGTAAGTCAGCTCCTATGCACCCTAATTTTTTCCGCCTAACTTGAACTGTTTGCCTTCCGATTGCATGGTTCTTTATATGATTGCATACCACCATTATCTCAATGTATGTTTTGTCGATCAAATTTTTAAGTTTCCCAAAGTTGTTCTTCAATAAAATATTGAATCACCGCTTGCAGTTCAATTTTTTGAACTCTTTTGGATGTGTAAGTGGTTAAAGTCACATAATTTTATGGCTTAGAACAAATGATTCAAATTTAATCTTTAAATTATTTAGATATGTTCCTTATCAGATTTAAAATGTTTTCTTTGCAGGGTTATGCTCTAATTGAATATGAAAATTTTGAGGAGGCGCAGAGTGCAATTAATGCACTAAATGGAACTGAGCTCCTTACTCAAATTGTTTATGTTGATTGGGCATTTAGCAATGGTCCTATCAAGCGCAGACCTATGAGGCGAAGGTGTGCATATAGATATTTTTTACTTCCATATAGATATATATATATATATATATATAAACACACACACGTGCACCATTTTCCTTATGATATGTGCATAATATTTGTTTTTTAGATCAGAGATTTAGTTCTTTTAACTTCGAGTGAGAATTTGAATGGTTATGTTTGGACATAATACAATATGGGTTTGACAAAAAAGTGTTGTGGCTAAAAGTTCTAGTAGTAGACGCATTTAAAACGAAGTTAACATCTAAAATAACAGCCAAATGGTTAGAGAATGCTTCCTAAACTTGACTCACATTATTAAGATGAATCTTATGATGAAATGTGTGGGAAAGTAATTATAGATATGAAGTTCTTGTTGGATGATAGTTTGGAAAGATAGTAAGAAAAATTATATGATCACTGTTAAGGATAATAAAACATATTAATATTGTTGGCAAGAAACTGAGGGGATCAATAGCCTCACACACCCAAGCTGTAATTTTGTTTTATGTTTTTTGTTCTATTTGCATCACAACAAAGTCCTAGAATTCATTAAACCCATTTTTGTAGATAACAAATTAGCCAACTTAGAACTAACAATGATTATTCAAATTTTGTCAAATTCTATGACAAACCTATTACAAGTTCTTACAATCTGTTAAAATCTTCCATTTATCTTTGAGTGTGAAATGATTTTACTTTCAAGAAAAATAATAAGAATGTTGAAGAGTCATCTTAATCCTTGAATATTCTTCCCATATTCACAATATGCGAGCTATTACTTGGACTTACGATAGAATTAGATAAATGAACTTTTTAAACCAACAAAAAATAACTAGGTAAAAAATTTTTGGTGGTTTTTATAATTATAGGAAATCAATTTATCGTGTCGGGATGAAGGAAAAAAAAAAGAGAGGGCCCCCTTGGGTGTTGTTCCTTAGGAGTTTGGAAAGTGCCTTAGGAGGCATTCTAATTTATTGATGCCAAAGTTAACCCAAAACCCAATAGGGGAAGGTCACAACAATTAGGGGGTGTAGGGGTTGTGGGATGTTCGGTGGTGGGACAACAAGCTGAGTGGCGGTGAGGGAGCCTCGGAAGGATGATAACATGCTGGGATGGTGTAGGAATGGGATGACAACCAGTACGAAAAGTGTCGGGAGTGGTAACACCCAAAACCCAAGGGGGA